AAATATATTTCTTACCAGTAGTCTTATTTTACATTTGAGCCAATATAACATATTTTGAGTATTTTTGTTTTTAAATAACCATTCGTACAAATAATCAGATCATTAAATTTTATTTCTTAAAAAGCCATTTTACGATTTAGTATACTACTGGAACGATTTTCAGGTACTTTTTAAACAATCCTTGTATTTATGATATAAAAATAGTTGTTTTGATTAAAAAAAATATATATAAATAAATACACATAAAAACAAATATTCTAAAATTCCATCAAGGTTCCATTAGAGGTTACCTATTTTTTGTCACACTCGGACTATCTGTTGGTCGAAATATTATCCAGCAAGCCAGTCACAAATTTTTGGGATGAATAGACTGGCTATATTCAAATGTCTACCTACATCTAATTCTGGAAACTACACTCATTCGTATACATAGAATCTATAATTAGTTCGTGATCATGCACAAAGTAACAAAGATTTGCTTTCGTCATTGGAAATCGGCGTTTTTCTAGAAAACCATCTGAAACATTCACACGAGTTGCGAAAATGCCAAAAAAATATTTTGAAAATATGAAGATCTATTTTGCCCTTGATTTGTTGAATTGTATTTTATATTCGAGTGGGCTATTTTTAAAATATAAAAATAGACAAACGTAAATTTATTTACCTAATTTATAAAAAAAAAAATATTTTTAAATAACAAGATAAAATACACTGTCAGATAAAACATACGTAAAAAGTTTTTAATTTAATTTCACACTATCATTTGCGTTCTTGCTATTTTAATAACGATAGAATGTGAATTCTAGAGTTTCTTAACCTTCTTTCAGAGGTGTCCCAGTTTTAAATAGTAGTCTTTTTGGCGCCTCTTTACAAGTATTTTGTCGAAATGCCGACAAAAAACGTAACGGTATCGTTTCAGAAATTCTTGATCTAAATCCTCACCAGGCCTTAGCGCAATGTACATTATTTTTATTCTTTTTTATTAATAAACATGTTTTTTTCTATAAATGAATAAAGTAGACTCTTCTATTCTAAGTTAAATGTTAATTCAAAAATTAAAAAGCGAGTGATGATTATTTAAAAAAGGTAAAGTAATTAATTCAAAATAGCAGTTTGTACTAGAGTAAATATGATGACCATATTCCCAAAAGACGAAGTTTGAGCCCGACGCTGTAGGCGGAGTACTCAATCGCCTGAGTGCGATACGGTCAATTTACTTGAGTTGTACAATATATTTTTTCAACGATACAATAGGTTCTTTCGTTCTTCCCACTGGTGTAGGAATGAACTACACCAACGGACACGAAACCTTTCGTTTGGGCTGGTGTAAAATCCACTACACTTTTCTGTCGGCGATGTGGTGTCATTTGGTGGATATTTTCTCCACCAGCTATTTAGCTATTAAGCAGGAGTGAATATAAGAAATAAGGAAGAAGTAAATCAGGTAAATAAGGTACTGTAATTTACACTGGTGGACACTGCACCAACAGTGAACCTAAAATGGACTCGGGACTGGTGGCTTTACATCTCCGAAAGATAGCACGCCACACGTCATACCCACCGACCTTGATGTTAAACTGGATGGCTATATGACATAAACCCTACTCCTAATTTCTAAGCCGACATGGATGAAAAAAACGGTCGGTGCGCATGACAATTTGGACGCCAGACTGTCAATTTCGAGCAATCTACGTCACGTTATTCACGGCCGTACTATGATAAATTATATTATTTTTTATTAATAACGCCCTATTTTAATCATTATTATTATTATTGAAACATTTGTTTCAGCTGCGTTTAAATCAAAAATCATTTTTAAGTGATTTTCTTAAATTAATAAGTGTTCAATTTAATTTTGATGGTCCTTTTTACTGCATTTCGATACGCATATGTGGGCGCCGAAGTGTCAAATATCACTGCGCTATGCGGCTTGATTTTGTTGATCGGCTTTGTTCTTCCAGTTTAATATATAGTTCAGTGGTTATACCTTACACTCATTGATATAATATAACGCTTCTCTTTTGTAGTATGCAATTACGCAAGCAGTTTGTTTGGCCCTATACCGACTTTTCTTGAGATAGTCACCCATCCAAGTGCTAACTGCGTGGCCTGTAGATATCAATACACAATAGTGAATTAGGAACAGCACTGTTAATTAGAACCCAACAGTAAATGGTCGAGTGGGGAATTCTACCAAGGCATCAGAATTAATTTTAAATAATTAAATTAAATAAAAAAATCCCGGCCAACGGTGGGATTCGAACCTGGGACCCTTGGATCCGCAGGCAGAGACTCTAACACTGAGCCTTCCGCCTCCTTAGTTGGTCATTTTAAAAAACATTTTCCCAATTTTGGAGTGCAACTAACGTGACAGCGATGCAATTTTAAATAAAATAATTTTTGCACAAGTTTTTTGCTGATCTAATCTACGTGCAACGTACTAACAGCCGTTAACTTCTTTTGGTTCCTTTAATTTTGTGTTTTTATTGAAATTCAAAAAATAATTATTTAAATTAAAAATGCTAAAAGTGATTAAAGTAACGAAAAATTACATAAAGAACGAATTTACATTAAAAAATTGATCAGCCAGATTTGGTTCAACAAAATCTAATAATAATTAGTGCCAGTTCCTTTAATTGTTATCACAATTTAAACATTTTCCTGCTTCCATGTCACCTTACCTTTGGTCTTTCTGATTTTTGTGCCCTTGGCACATATTGAATAGTCCATCCATCCCTATTCAATCTTCACCTTCTAATCTTGAGACCAATTTTTTTGACTTGCTCTATTTCATAACTCTGTTTGTTATCGAATACGTTTACGTATACGAATATTTATAGCATGTGTTCGTTAGGTTGTGTTGCATCCCCACAATAAGACCGATTTAAGATTCATTGCATTAAATATTTGTAATTTGAGACAGGTACTAATGACTACACCAAAGGATATTTTTACTTTCTATTGTACGTATATCTCGGTATGTCCTATGTTATTGATCTTACTTCCGAGGTATTCCAATTCGCCAACTCTTTCTATTGTTTCGTTGTGTACCTACTTATACAGCTTGATTTGACGTTTGGCGGAAACTATTTTAAAAACTCAAATATGATCAAGACGTAATATAAAGAAAAATAAGAAGTTTTTGAAGCTATGCCCAGATAATAATTATACATTCTTAGCATATTCTTAGTATATACTTTTTAAGAATACGCATATGCTGAAAATAAACTGTATTTGCATGTGGTACATTCTCAGAATATGCTAGGCATATGCTACGTGACGTTGTTTATACGTGCTATGCAGATACTGAGAATGTACTTCAAGTATGTGTACAGTATGCAACAGGTATCTACTTTAATTTGATAGTACGTTCTAAGTATATGCTAAGTATTTAAATATAGCATATGCTAGGCATATACTAGACACCTTAATACAGGATGTTTAATTAATATTGAACATTAAAAAATAAGTGTATATAATGAGTCTTTATTTCAAAGAATTCATACTTATTTTTATTACAAATACTATCTTTGGCCTTAACCAATCAATATTTTATTGCATCATAATGGCTTGAGTTTCATTTGCTTGATTCCATTGGATCTTCATTGAACCTAAAAAATAAAAAAATTAACAAACTTGATACATATACAAATTAAGTGTACATAGCTAATGGAATATTTTAATATTTTTGTCTAACATAAAACATTAAAAATTGTACATGGTATTCCACTAACAAAAACAAGAATTACAAAAATGATTGTGATGTTTACTGAAAGTTTAAATATATTTTTGTTAATTACTTACCACCATTTTGTAGTTTTCGTCCTCCTTTAGCTAACTTTTCTAGTTCTTCCAGGTCAATATCTGGCCTTACAGGATTTTTTCATAGAAAGTGTGAATGTAATTCTGGTAACACTGTATTTTAGTTTCAATCCACCATTAGTATTAACTATATTAATAAATTCACACTGGAAATTAATATTTGGGATATCCTGTATTCTAACGTCACTTATAAGTCCTAAAAACTATTAATATAGTAAAATTTGTTTATTTTCATATAGAACATACGATGCAATTAATTTTTATTAATTGACTTACCTCTTACAAACAAACGAGATCAAAAAAATGTGTAGGAATTGTAGGTTATGTTATTCTTCTTTTTTTCTTCTATTTTAGTTTGAGAATGTTTTTTGGCCTAAACATTCAACATTAGTGCGTTTGGTAGCGAATTATTAGATCGGCATCTGGGAAAAATTCATATAGATATGTATATAAACTTGTTTTTACATGTATTTGGTGTTAATTTTTACCTGCAAGCATTTAGAACATTCTCAGAATATGAGGGTATATGACTTTTAGTATCTTCTAAGAATGTCCTGTTATAGCACGTGCTCAGTATATACTTTTTGGAATATACTTTTAAGGCACGTACTCAGTATATACTTTCTAGAATATACTTTCAAAGTATATTATAGGTATGTTCTAAGAACATTCTAAAAGGATATACTAAAAAGAACTTAAACAGAACGTTCTTGGTATATTCATAGAACATTGATGTTATGTGGGTGTGTCACAAAATATTACCGACGATCATTTTTCTTCTGAAAACAACTGCGTGTTTGGCAAATACCGCAACACGTAATGAATTATTACCAATTAAGACTAATTTTCTGTCTCTGTTATTTTTCTTTGGTTATAACTCAATGCCTGTTAAGTTATTAGCCAAAGGCAGGTGTTTTCTAAAAGGAAACGGTGGCTCGTATTATTTAGTGCACATACTTCGAGAATTTCTTATGTTGTCTTACTTTATTTTTCTTTATTTTGCATGGTTTTGTTTATTGTCAGGCTCATTTTGGTTACTTCTTTATCCAGCATCTTCCTTCTTATGTGGTGAATGATATGTTAAATAAAACAAATATCATCTGCGTAATCCAAACAAAAACTTATTTCTATTTTTATTTTGGGGATAGACTAATATCGTGTTTTTTTTATCTTTTCAGACTGAAAAATGGAACAATTTGAACAATTGTTAACTTGCGCTATATGCTTAGATCGATATAGGAACCCGAAGCTTCTACCATGTCAGCACAGCTTTTGCATGGAACCTTGCTTAGAAGGTTTAGTTGATTATGTACGGAGACAGGTAAGGTATACTTAAGAATATATATTTTTCTTTAAATAATTATTTCTACTAAAATTTAGCTATCCTATTAATTGTTGAGAGGAGTAAACAATATGTAGTATGTTCGGGTAGTGGGAGCAGTAATGTGACCTATGAAATTCAAACTAGAGTTGCCCAACGATGGATTTTTTTGTTTCTGCTGGCAATGAAATATACTCGTCAATAATAACAATAAAAAATCCATTTGCAAGCATTTTCTATTATCCGGTTTTGCAACTTCTGTAGGGATTTTGGTCACATGACTGGATATTTACTTTTTTTTATTCTCAGTCCGTTTGCCGACAAAAAAATCATCTTAGATTAAAAAAAACGCGTTTAAGCTATGTCCTGAATTTCATTGAAAAACGTAAATATCCGGTCACATGGTTAATATCCTACACCGGAAGTAGGAAAATCGGACTACAGAAAATGCTTGCAATGGGATTTTTTTAATGTTTATTGACGTTTAGATGCATATATTTCATTGGCAGCAGAACCGAAAAATCCATTGATAAGCAGCTTTACTTTGAATTTCACAAGTCACATGACCGCTCCTACCACTGAGACAAAGTACATGTTATTCACTCCTTTTCCTGTATCTAACAACAAGAAAAAAAAAACGAAGTGCCACTTTTTGTAGTCAGATGAAGGACTATATCTTTGTTGGCAACTTCGGCAACCGATATGCTTTACTGCATTAAATACCAAAGTGGCCAAAAAAATTGACGGATTTGAGTGTTTTTCTAAAAACGTCCTGTAGAAGCTATTTAAATATTTGTTTAGAAAAGCTGCCTATTTTGTAAAAAATACCTACTCACCTTACTTTTACAACACACTGTATGACACAATTTTCAAAAACTCGTGGCAAATAATAATTGTATGTAACGCTCTCTACTTCACCAGTAACCAACCTGTAAGGTAATTAGTGCATAAATAAAATAATCGAACTGCCTCTTTTCCTTTTATAATAGTAGGGTAAAAATCGTGTCACAGCTTGTCATGACTGATTTTTCGCGACCCCATACACAGTACAAAATTCTATTACAGCACTTTGTATGCGTATACATTTATTTAAATTATTAAAAGTAACATTTCCCACTATAAAGAACAAGACATCCAACAACCAGAAAATCAGGTAACCTCAGACCTCAGCACCATTAACATTAGGAGGGACAAAATTACAATAGCTGAAATCTATTGCCCACCAAGATACAACCAGAAAAAAAATATCAGAACTTGGTTTTATATACCAAACTTCTGAAAAACCTATCTATTGGCTCACTGACCCAAATAAGATTACAGACCTTTTGGATTTCTTTATTCTGAGGAAAATTTCACCAAACTATACACAACTGGAAAAAAAACTTTGATATGGATTCAGACAAGTCTGCAGTAATCCTTACTCTAAGTGATAATGGTATTCAAAAAGAAGAAATCCAACTTTAGCAAAACCGATTCTAGCAAATCAGAAAACTAATTATGAAGGTTTTCAAGAGGAATTAACAAATACTATTCTTCAACTGACCATAACACTAAAAACGACAAATTAGCTAGATAAAGAACTGGAAAGGTTTATAGTTGAAATCCAGCAAGCTGCATGGTGAAACACACCAAAAGTAAGAAGTTTAACAGCTGTCGAGATAACAGAACGGGTAGCAGAAAAAAACTAAGAAAGAAATGGAGAATGACAAGATCACCAGAAGATAAAAATATATTGAATAGGACTATCCAAAGACTAAGAAGATAAATCCTAAATCACAAAGAAGAATCTTGTAACAGATACCTAGTAGGGCTAACAGATGATAAAGAAACTGATTGTTCGCTCTAGAAGGCAACTAAAAAGATGAAAAATTCATGTCCTCCTATCAGAATAGAAGATAATAAATGAGCAAGAGACAATCAACAGAAAGCTGATATTTTCGCTGACCATCTACAAAAGACGTTCCAATTAGATGAAAATCAAGACACTCCTAACGAGACGATCCATAATATGGAACAACTTGTAATTGAGCTAGCTACTCCCATTGAAGTTACAAAAGAAATTCAGACAAACATCAACTCACAGAAAGCCCCAGGATATGGCCTTATTACTAAAGAAATATTAAAGAAACTGCCACGGAAGGCTATCGTTAAATTGACATACCTCATAAATGCAACATTTTGCCTTAAATATATACCTGATGCGTGGAAAATGGCTGAAGTTATCCTAATTCCTAAGCCAGGAAAACCTCCGAATGAAGTGTCATCATATAGACCTATATCATTGTTACCAGTAATATCTACGTTATTTGAAAAACTACTACTAAAACGACTAAAACTAATAATTGAAAATAAAAACCTGATCCCTTCACACTAATTTGGTTTTAGAAACAAACACTCTGCAATAGATCAAGTATACAGGATAGCCGATATGATTGAAAAAGATTACGAAGAAAAATACATTTCTTGACATAGCCCAAGCATTTGACAAGGTTTAGCACGCTGGCCTGATACAGAAATTTGAAAAAAATGATCACTAAACAATATGTCGACATTTTACAATCATATCTAACGGGAAGAATGTTTAAAGTAAAGCAAGAGGAGGTATACTCCGAAATGAAAGAAATAAAAGCAATGTCCTACAAGGCAGTGTGCTAGGACCGGTTCTTTACTTATTATACACCAGCGATATCCCTCAACAACAATGTGTTAAAATAGCAACATTTGCGGATGACTTTGTAATATGAGCAGTTGGTGGAACTAATACAGAGACCTCAGAAAAACTTCAGGAAAACTGCAAAAAAATCAATCTATGGATAAAAAAAGTGGAAAATAAAAATAAATCAAATTAAATCAGTGCATTTGCTCTTCGACCAAATGAACAAAAACAAATAAGAATAAACAATAACGTTATTCCACATCACGATTAGGCCAAATATCCAGGGATGAACCTAGATGTACGACTTAAATTGAAAGAGCACATAAAAAAGCGTAATGAACTTTAACTTAAATTCAAAAAAATGTATTGGCTCCTAGGAAGAAAATCCAAATTGTCATTGTACAATAAACTATTAATTTATAAATGAATTCTTAAACCAATCTGGATTTATGGCATAGAGCCATGGGGACGTGCCAGGAAGAGTAATATCAACACGATACAAGTTTTCCAAAATAAAGTACTAAGATGCATCGTTGATGCACCTTGGTTCTATCAAAACGATTATCTTCATAGAGACTTGAAGATGCCAACAACCGAAGAAGAAATAAAAAGATTTGCTGCGAAACATTAGGATCGACTCCACTTCCACGTCAACGACAACTCTACGCTCAACAGAAGGCTCAAAAGGAAGAAGCAATTTGAGCTAGAGCAGTGAACGTTAATGTTAGTGCTAGTGTAAAACAGTGTAATAAATCATCACGCCAACTTGAGATGCTTCCCTACAGAAACAATTAGACAGCCCAATGGGGACTTCTTAGATAAGTAATTAGATTAAAATTGTAGGTTAGTCAATAATGACTAGTAACAATATTCTAACAAAAAAAAATTAAATTGTAATAAAAAAAGGTCTCTTTTTTACATTTTTATGCCATTTTAAAGCCGCTTTAAAGCCATTTTTAAGCGAGAATTTATTATGTTTGTGAGCGGTTTTAATTTCATTTTGGTTTAATCATTTCCTTCATAAACAATTTGCCGCCTCCTTGGCCGTCCCTGCCGTCGGCAATCTTAGTAATGTGGAAGCCACAAATAATATTATTTCCTTGTTTGGCCATAAATAAATCATGTCGCAGCTTACCTACGAGTACTATTATAGTAAGATGCCTGAAATAGACTAATTCCGTTCACATTCGGAAATTTATTAAATTACTAAAAGATTTGGCAATTGTTTGACACGAGGGAGTAGGCAACGATTCTAGGCACGTGTATTTAAATTAGACATGTGTCATATCATGTCTTTGTCGGCCATGGCTCATGCTCTATTTTGTTTTTAAACATTGTTTAAATTTTAAATATTTTTAGGTAAAATGTCCAGAATGCCGAGCAGAACACAGAATCCCTTACAATGGCGTTCAAGGATTCCCCACAAATGTCACCTTACAGCGATTTTTGGAACTCCATATCGAAATTACAGGGGAATTACCCGATCCTACCAGCGGGCAAATTATGGAGAGGTGCAATGTTTGTTCAGAAAAAGCTTATTGCAGTTTTTGTTCCCATTGCGATAAAAAAATCTGCGAAGAATGCAAAGGTAAGATAAAGTCGTATTTTTGTTCAATTTCGAAATGCAAATGGTTTAACACAGCGTAATAAATTTTCAGAACAATAATTTTATTATATACTGCAATGTTATACCGTGGTAACTTACTTTTTTATATGGTTGTTAAGGGAGTCATAACGGACTAGCTCGGTAAAATTTTTAACAACAGTTATGACTGAACTGTCACTATTTTAAGTCACATTCGGAAACTTGGTAATAGTGGTGTCAAATAATGAAATTTTATTTAATTTTAGGTTGTAAAACGTAGTAAAGTGCAGTATATCATAAAACGTTGTACGATATACGCCCGTTGCCTGATCTCTACGTGCTCGTACGGTCATATAACGTGCTCGCTGGAACCCGCACATTAATGATCGTACTAGCATTATTGTGAAGATCTAGGTAACGGGATTATAACATAACTTATAATTACAGAACAATAATTTATCAGAAAAAATTAAGAACAGTAATTAGTAAAATGCAAATTACATAAATACGTTTCAAAAATTGATCCAGACATTTATTTAATAATTCTATAAATATACATATTTATTGGTATATTATTATATATTAAACAATAAGTCAACTATAAAGGGACGGATGGCACAAAATTGATCGAAAACATTTGTTCGAATACATTTGATCGAAAACATTTGACGAATGCATTTGATCGAAAAAACATTTTACCGAATAACAATTGATCGAAAAGAAAAATTATCGAACAGAAAAATGATCGAAAAGAATAATAATCGAAAAGAAAACTGATCGAAAATAGATTTGATAGAAAAAGCAATTGATTGAAAAAACAAATATTCATAAAATTATAGAATAATAAGAAAAATAAAAACAAAAATTTTAACTAATTTACCTAACCTATGTAGCCTAGAATCATCGCTGGTTAGGTAAATTCGTTTTTTATTTTTATACATTTTTGCGAGGCAAAACGCGACGTTTTCGACTGGAGCTCTAAGACAGGTTAGGTAAGTTAGTTAAGTTTTATAAAAATAAAGAAAACCTAACTAATTTACCTAACCTGTGCGGCCTGGGACAATTTAAATGATTGCTCTGACAGAGCTTAGGTAAGTTAGTTAGGTTTTTAAAAACCTAACTAACTTACCTAAAACTTAACTAACTTACCTAAAACTTAACTAACTTACCTAACCTATGTCAGAGCAATCAGTTAAATTGCTCCAGGCCGTACAGGTTAGGTAAATAGGTTAGGTTTTCTTTATTTTTCCCTTTTTTGTATAATTTTTTTGCGAAGCCACCCTCAAGAGCTCCATGCCGTACAGGTTAGGTAAATTAATTAAAATTGTTGTTTGAATTTTTCTTATTTTTCTATATTTTTGCTTGGCAAATTATTTTTAAATTAACAGTATTGTAAGAATAAAATTTGAAATTTGCCATTAGTACCTAATTTTGATAGTCGCTTAGTTTAGTTTCCCCGGTAGTAGGGATTAGACGGACGGTTGAATGGTATCGTTTGATTTTTTAATATTTTACTATTTTTAATGTTGATTTTCGATATATTGTCCTTTCGATCTAATGAATTTTCAATCTATTGTCTTTTCGATAAAATGTTATTGGATAAAATACATCTCCGATCAAATGTTATTCGACCAGATGTATTTTCGATCAAATGCCATTCGATAAAATGTATTTTCGATCAAATTTCCAATTCGATCAAATGTTTTTCGTTCAATTTTGTGCCACCCTAAAGGGACACCGCAAAAGAAACAAAAAATTCTGCTTCCGTTTGAAGATTTACTTTATGTCTCAATTCAATTTTTAAAAAGGAATCGCTGTTGGGAGTATGTCATTACTATGCCTCTTTATGGTACAATTAATGGATATAGTGCTAAAAATATCATGACCTAACTCTGCTCCATTGAGGTAAACCGATCTAAACTTATTGGACTATTGCATCGGTAACAATTAATTCAAAGAGTAGAAAGTGTTATGTGCATTTGTTATTTAATTTAATTTTGGTTAGGTTATTTCAGGCATTCATTAAACTTAAACAAAATAACCTTTCCAAAAAAAAAAGATTAATTAAGAAACATATTAATTTATAAGTATATTGTGTTGTATCCAGGATTAAAAATTGATGCAAATACCATTTATTTGAAGATGTCTATTGAAATATTCGACTAAGGGACTATAAATTTTTTTCAGGCAAATAAAATGCCACTCCTAGAATGATTCTGGATAAATAATATTCTAATTCTTTTAATAAAAAGATTCACAATTTTATAGAAAATGTGTATTGCATAACTATATAGGGTTGTAGGACGAAAACATACCACAGCCATTATTTTGTGTACAATGTCAAAAAATAATAAATTTCCAAATCAAAAGGAAAAAATGTAAATAATTAAACTATTAAATAATATTTCAAGTAAAAAAAATATATGTCCGTCAATGGGCGGAACTTGCGACCAAAAAAGTCGATTTGCTGATATTTTTACTTTCCTATCTGTATACAGATAAGGAAAGTATAGGAATCATGATTTTTTTTAGCTAGCTCATCTGACTTCCATCAAATACACGCATTTTTAAAACTATTTTTTTTTAGTTCTACAAACAAAGATCGGCCTTTTTTTTTCATTTGTGGTATTTCTTTATAGTTGATTTGTTGTGTACCTATTATAACTATACCTACTTCACAAGAACCTGCCTTTAAAATAATATATTGATTCAGATAGTACAGGTTCTTTTGAACCTGCCATAATAACACATAAATTTAGATGGCTTTGTTATTATTTTTTTAGATTTAGGAAACAAGTGATCGAAATACAAAACATCAAAAATATAAAAGATTGAAAATACAGAAGATCGAAAATAAAATTAGATATTCAAAACAACATTGCTGCCCATTGCATTGATATGGCAACCATATGGGCCTGGTGGATTTAACAGGGTCAATTATATATTTTACTATATTCAGGGACTGAAAATTGGTTTTAAAACTCATTTTTGCTAAACCGATTCTGATTAATGTGCACTTGCGAGGCAATATGGCTGCTCGCAATGCTACTTACTTTGAGCAATCTATATAACTATAATATCATTGACTATGTCAGAGCTCACAGGCAAAAATTTTGATAGGTCGTTGGAATGCCTAATTAATCTAAAGTAAATGCTTGAAACTTGCTTGAAACGCAAAACAACAATAAAATGTTAAAATCAAGTATACCTATTATAAGCTATTAGTACCTCATCTGACTGATAAAAGTGGCATGTCATGTTTTTGCTTGCTATTTGTAGTTGGTATAAAGACTAGTCTTCATAGTAGTTGGGTACAGGGAGGGTGGGTGAACCTCCGAGCAATTACTAATAGAGGGAGCGTGAAAACGAGTTTGTAGGCGATTGTTGTGTTAGCAACATCTGTAGAAGAAGTGAGGAAGCGGGCACAAGGGGGAAGGTAAACATCCTTCTTGTTCAGTGGCGTATCATTTACCTATAAAAACACACATTGTCCAAACGTTTTAATTAAAAAAAAAAAAAAAACTAAAAAATTTGCTAATTTTACTATTTTTAAAATGAATACCGTCTTATATGTGTCTAATGCAGGAAATGAAACAAAATCACTGTAAAGGTCTAATTTTTTCAATTGAAGAATAAAGCCTTAAAATCAATTTTAATATAAATAAATACAGGAGCGACTAGTTTCGGCCTTACAGGAACATCTTCAGGCCTGTAATACAATAATCTTTAATTATTATAATAGGTTGGTCACTTACGAATAACATTAAATAGTATAAACCACAAAAATGGATCCATATTGTAGCGTTACAGCATTATAGAATTAAAGCTGTGAAAATAAAAGAGCAGTGCAAACGTAACTAAAAATAAGAAAACTGAGTACGGAATCTACAAGAGAAGAGGTGAGAATGAGCAATTACGAATGCATTTAAATTGCTCGAGATAACAAATAAAGCTGATAATGTAGTGGTATAGTTCCCGTCAAAGAAGGTCTGGATATGTTAAAGAGGACGGCGTTTTCTCTGTAAATCTGGAGAATGTAAGGTTGGAGAGAAGACGAGTCTTGCTGGCTCAGGTATAGATGGCTAGAAAAAGGAGCGTGTAGATGAAAGCTCCAGTAATTATCGTCACTTTCGTCTAATTTTTTATTCTCACTCACCGTTTCGGCTTTATCTTCGAAATTCATTTTTAAAAGGAAATAAAAGTAATCATTCATACAAGCATATATTAAAACAACATGAATTCATTATATTTAATAAGCTAATAAACGTTTGTTTCAATGAAAAAAAAAAAATAATATGCTTTAATATCAAAATCAATTTGAAAATACAACAGATAATAAAATGAAATAAATTAATACAAGTACAAATAGAAAGTTAATAACATACCTTCTAAAAGTAACACATTTTAAGTAGATAACTGTTTAATATAATCTAAGTTTTTCCCCTTTTTAATATTATGAGGGTTTTTGTAGTTGAAATGAAAATTATAATTTATTTTGGTCCTAATAAAAATTTAAACATAGGTTATCAAAGAGTTAAATACATAATAGAACTTCATAATCTTAAATCGTTATCAAAAATTATTAATGGTAAAACTTCAAACAATAATTAGATTCTTAAACAAATTTCTAGTTTTTGTTTTGCAAAAGACTTTTTTGCCTTCTTCGGTTGCCTCTGCCACTTTTCTTTTAGTAGTTTCGAGGAGAATTTTCCTATGGAAACCAGTAGAACCATCAATTGGTTGGTAAAATTTTGATATTTTGGGTCTGATAAGTCTTGTTAAACTTTTTTCTTAGGAAGCTGTAACCATATGGAGAATAAAAATTTAATGTTAGATCAAAAGCTCTTAATTGAGAATTATATTTGCAAAGGCCGTTTTAATAATATTTTTAAAGATTCTTGGAATCGTTGTTAACAGAAACCTGCAAAAAAATATATCATTTTATTCCCAAAATATAAGATACTAGGTATGTAGCTACTGAGACAATTTAAAAAAAGTATTTC